CTGCTACAAATAAGTGAAAGCAAATCAATTGGAGAATTTACTCTTTATCTTTATGATGCATTAAAATGAAGTGATTTCATTTAAGGACACAAAAAGGCGTTGTATTCAGACAGAAGAAGTAAACATACCAAAATAGTATGCAAACTGTGAATGGTTTTTTTCGGGGGACAGTTTCCTTTCAACCTAATATACAGCGCTACCAACTGATGGATTCTGAAGGTTAGCAGAGGGGACGTTCATTCATTCACACAAAATGCAGCCACCTTTTCCACTGTTAGCGGGATTACAGATGAGCAAGCCCTTGTTCCTGGTGCCTGAGACACTCCATAGTCAAATGGAGAGAGGTCATCCGCTGGCGGACCAGCGGACAACCACGTCCAGCAATAAGGCCAGGGAAGTGAGGCTGGTCAAGATTCTGCTCTTCCCTTCTCGCTTCAAAAGAACCCTCTGCCTGCACCTGCCTCCTGGCACTACATGATCCCATCTGCTGGGCTGGGCTCTTGCTAACACTTACCACACCCAGAGCAGCCCCTCCGGAGAATCCCTGGCTCCCCTCTGTGTCTGCATCTTTGCTTCTCTCATCTTGGTTCTGAGTGGGCTCCAACCCCACAGCTATGGATTGACTCCAATGCCTAGCACCCTCATAGGGCAGGACGGAACAGCCCCCGGGAGCAGCTGGTGGTCTGAAGCCCTGGCCTTTCAGTGAGTGACTGAGCGCTTAACCAGTGCACCCCCAGGGCTGCTCAGTCGACTCCAAAACTGAGTTACTTGGGGAAATGACAGACCCTGGTAGCGGAGTAGTTACTTATTGAGCTGCAATCCGTGTGGCTGGCAGTTCGAAACCACCAGCAGCTTCGAGGAAGAAAGACTGGGTATCCTACTCCCAGCAGCAGTGACGGTCTCAGAAACCCCTGGGGGGCGGGGGTGGGGGTGGGGGTCCCTATGAGTCCTCATTGACTCGATGGCGGTGAGTTTGCTTTGGGTTTGGTCCCTCTGCTAAAGGAATGAAGAACCAGAGGTATGGCGCTGGATCATAACCGGTGGCCTGACCGTGGGTGATGGGTGTGGAGACATGGACAGCAGAGCTGCCCCTCAGTCTGTTGATGGCTAGCAACTGCCCCTCCTTCAGTCCCTCCCAAACTGGCGTTGGTCACTCCATCCTGCCGATCCTTGCCTCCGAGAGAGAGCTGTCAAAGAGAATACCCATGGTGTGACAGCAGCAACCTGGAAAGGGAAAGGTGCCGGGGACCTGCACGACCCCCAGGGAGCTCTTCCTCCCACTCGTCCCCCCCTCTGTCACTGATGGCGTCCACCTGCGCAACCACACCCAATGCCTACAGCTCCCGGGGAAGTGGGGTCACAAGGGACCTTCCTGTGATTTTCTTGAATCGACCCCCTGGCCCAGAGTCATCTGTGGGTCTTGGACCTTGCGAATACAAACCCCTCCCGGTGATGGCAATTCTATCACTTAATTCTCTTATAAGTAAGCTGCACACACAGAATGCTTGTGTGCAATACGGACTGGAGAGCCGAGCCAAAGGAAATGAGCCTGAGTCCCTCCTGGATGACAATGGAAAACAAGACAGACGATTCCATCCACTACCACATCTTCTGTGGTAGAGCCAAATAGCACAAAAGCCAGCATCGAGTCACAGGGAATCCTGCCCTCTAGCGTTCTGTAGTCCGCCGTCACGAAGCAAGGGCAGGGACGATGAGCACCTTGTAGGAATTGCAAGTGGCTTTAGGGATTATACCCAAACCCTCGTCAGACCAATGAGGAAAACAGCAAAGTGAAACAGCTCACTGCAAGGCTGACTTCCTGAGGCATGTTTTCCATTTGCCCCACGCACACGGACTGTAGTGAAACAAACCCACCTACGGCAGGAACGAAAAACAGAGAAAGGCGTCAACCTCTTGTGAGGGACGTCATCCGTTACAGACCAAGGAGTTATGCACGAGGGAAGCCAGAGATGACCAGGATGAGCCTTCTTTTTCTCTTTTTAAAGTTATTATTCCTATACATATATGATTTATTACATAACATTTATAATACAGTTATCAGTCCATTATTCAATCACCTCAAGCAGAATTGTACAATGAGTTTCCAAAGGTTGAACGCTTCTAAGACAGGGACAGGTTGTGCTCCTAGATGACCCAGAACCAATTCTTACCCCAACATACACATAACTACTCCATAGTTCCCGTCACTACCTTCCTGCCGCCATCCAAAGACATGCGCATCAGATCCTTTTAGGAGGGCTGTTAGGAGAAGCAGATAGCCCTTCATTGGGCTAGCCATTGGCCACCAGATACTGGGAAACTAGGGCTGCTTTAGAGTGTTACCTTGTTGTGGCTAGGTGCCGTCAAGTGGTTTCCAACTCCTAGTGGCCCGATGTCCAAACCACTGCCTGCTGCTGGGCCATCTGCACAAGCGCTACTACGTTTCAGGCCATGGCTGCAGCCACTGGGTCAACGCATCTGGCACTGGGTAAATAAAATGCAAATACTAAAAAGCAAACAAAAAACGGTTGCTATTTTCATCAAGAAACACAGTTTGGAGCTAGTTTCTCCCTCTCTTGGTTCCCTATGAATTCAGGTTAGTGACCATCAAGCATCTCAGTAAAAAACAACGACAAACCTGTAACTCCATATACAAGCTGTTGATCTACACTAAGCACCAGAGCTACAAGTTACTGGGATCTCATAAGAGGACCAGACTAAGACCTTTCCCATTCTGCTTTGCTTCACAGCTCAGATGAATGAACTAGGCTTGATGCTTCTTACCAGGGAGCACATTTGCATTTTGGGCATCTGGCTACATTTTGATATCGGTGCACTCCAAACCAGAATGTGCAAGATGACACAATCAGAAATCAAAACACATGGACAGCTCGAACTGGAGGGGGCTTTCCAGAGGAGTCCATCATACATATCCCCTGCCTTTGTATCCAGAGAAACAGTTGCAATAAAACAGAGACTTGTTCCTTGTTCTATGACATCTAGCAGCTATGTCTCCAGTCTTCTGTGCAGATCTTTCCAGGGACCCTACTGCTTTCCAGTGCAGGCTTTGCAAACCTTCTGGGAGGACTGGCCGATAACTCTTCCTTGGAAGTCAGTCTCTCCCATTTCAGAGCTGCCTCTGCTATTCCAGAGCATGAATTCGATATGCAAGAGATAACTAAAGCCTGCATATGCATGTGACTTCCCTTCTTGCTCTGATGTTTTTTAGCTAGTTTGGGGGTTGGAAGATGAATGGAAATGCGTATAGCTATTAGTTGCTCTTATAACTGAAAAATCAGTGGGTCAAATACACCAACCAATCTGCAGAAGCACATAAGATAGATAGATAGTCTGCTTTCTCAGAAGATCGACAGCCTGAGAAACCCTACAGAGCAGTCCCACACCATCCCTACAGGGTCTAGATGAGATGGAAACGCCTTGACCGTATCATGTGTTGAGTTTGGTTTATAGTCATTCCTGTTCTGGCGTTCCCCAAATCCATTGTTGTGATGCCTTGTGCAACCAAGAAAGAACATTCTGGACTTGACTCCTGTGCAATTCATTCCTCTGGCCCATTTCTAAGAATAATATGTTGTGGCTAGTCTAAATTGGGGCAGCAGCATAGATTCAGTATTGTTCTGAGGATTCCGTGACAGGAGGTTCCCAGTTGCATTAAACCCCTGCCTTCTGATCAGCTGTGCAGACCTTAACTGTGAAGGACCACAGAGACGCAGTCAGATTCAGGGAAAGAGAACGCCACCTGCACTAGAATTATCTGCATCGGAACCAGTCTGTCATTCACCAGCAGCGTCTCTGGGCTGTGCTTTTGGTCTCTGAGCCAAGTTGTTGAATACATTTGGACCTGCTTTATACATGCGGTTTACTGGGCCAGATTATAACGTGTGAGGATCACTTACCTCCAGTAATAAGAATACAGCAATAATATGGCAATGCTGAGAAACACTGTATCCAGGGTCCCTCCGGGCTGACTAGGAATAAGGCTCTGCTCTGCCATTTACTAGCGATGTGGTTGGTATTGGGCAACTTTGTCCATCTTTGTCTTTTGTTTTCAACTTTCGTGGACAATCTCAAACAGACTCAGAATAGAAGAATTACATACAACAATGTACGAATCGCCCGCTGAAAGCGTTTTCCTAATATTGCTTTTTCCTGGTTATTTTAGAACACATTTGGGGAAGTTTTGCTATTAATGATTCTTGAGCTTCAGCCTTCTCAGCTAGGAAATGGAGATCATCGTGTCTAATCCCTGGAGTCCTGGCGGTAGTGCCTTATTCTGGTCTGCTAACCAAAAAGTCAGGAGAAAGATGAAGCTTTCTACTCCCTTAAGGAATTCTCACTCACTCCCTGCCCGCTAGTCCATGCTGACTGGTACTGACCCTTTAGGACAGGGTAGAACTGGCCCTGTGACTTTCCCAGACCCTTCACGGGAGAACAAAGCCATGTCTTTCTCCCGCTGGTGGTTTCGAACTCCTGGCCCTTTGGATAGAAACCCACTGGGGCAGTTCTACCCTATCCTACACGGTCTCTGTGAGTCAGCATTGACTCGCTAGCCGTGAAGGGGTTTTTCAATTCATGTTGTGGAAAGGAGATAAAATGCCATATAGCAAGGTAAACCGAGAGGACGGGCTAGTCCACAAATATTCACCAAATCAATCATTGCCATCAAGTCGATCCCGATTCACCGCTGATATTATTTATGGTGATACTGATGCGCACCCCCCTCCGCCCACCCCCCCGCAATCTAGGGGTACAGCCTTTTCCGGGGTGTAAAGCCACTCTGCAGAGGAGCGCTGCCGAATTACGCGTTCCTGGAAGAAGCCGAGCCCTGGGTCGCTAAGGGAGCGGGTGCCCCCTGCTGGCCACCTTCAGAACTACGGGGCCGGGACGAGGATTGTCCCTCGTGGCTTCCCGTCGCCGCGCGCAGGAACGAGGGGGCGGGACCGGAAGGGGAATTGAGCCAAGATCCGGGCGCGAGGCGGCAATCCGAGAAGCACCCAGATCGCTAGCGAGCTGTCGCTGAAGCCCAGCCACGATGTTTCGGATCGAGGGCCTCGCGCCGAAGCTGGACCCCGAGGAAATGAAGCGGAAGATGCGCGAGGACGTGATCTCCTCCATACGGAACTTTCTTATTTACGTGGCTCTGCTGCGAGTCAGTGAGTGTCCCCGCACTACCGGACCATGAGACCTGCAGGGAGCTCGCTGGCAGCGCCCACAGACGCTGGCCCGACAGGCGGCTGGGGACCCTCGAACTGATCTGAACCGTCTGGAAGACGGAAGAGGCTGTGCACCTCGGGTGGAGGGGACATACGACCTCCGAGGGCAGCTGGTCGGAATGGGGGTGCCGCTGTGCACGCGGGGTTGGGCCTGCTCTGGGTAAACATCCTGGCTCTAATGAACGTTCGACCTTAGGAGAGCTTTAAAGACTATCCCCCAGCGCAAAAACGTTCTTGCCTTACCAACAGTTCCACCGTAGAGAATGTCTGGCTCAAGGTCATTCAGCCATTGAGTGAATGATCTTGACCTAGAATTCAGGGTTCTTAAGCTTAAGCCATTCATACCACGTCCCCTTCCTTTAGGACTGTCTGCTCCCTTTCTGTTTATTTGTACAGTGAGTGAAGAAATAATGTGCCCCTTTGAGGGAGGATGGGTCAAAGAACCTTACATCCCATTTGCAAAGGAGAACTGGCTTTCAGAGAGGACTTAAGCAAGCATCAGGGTTACAAGCACACTGACAGCTAGAGCTGGAAGCCACTTTGTGGAGCAGTCTTCTGTGACGGAGAGTCTCCAAAATAACGTATCCCAAGTTTATGCATTCTCAGCACTTGGATTCGTTTCATTCTCCTAGTGCTGTACATTGTTGGCAGGTCTAGATGGAGAGCAAAGAATGGCTCACATGAGCCCATAGCAAAGCGGGGCACATGCTGAGCATAGCAACCAAAATAAAAACCCACTGCCCTGGAGTTGATGCCAACTTACAGCCGCCATCAGGCAGAATTGCCCCAGAGGGTTTCCAGGCTGGTGATGCAGTGCACTAGGGCTGTAAGGATTCCCCCTCTAGTCTTAAAATTCAACAAAGTAATTGGGACTAATAGCCGAAAACTAACTTGGGATTTCTTGGTTTTCTTGTAGCTCCATTTATCTTAAAGAAATTGGATAGTATATGAAGATGTGGCATCGCCTGAGAACGCATGATGTGAAGAATCTGGTTCCGGTCTCCTCCCATCTGCAAATGAATAGACCCAGAAAGATAGACCAGACTCTGAATGGACTTAAAAATTCTGCTTGACAAGAACAAGTCTTTTTTTTCTTGGTGACTGACTGACTATGTAAAATTAATTGGGAAATGTGAAAAGGTTTCTTGTGGTATTGCACCCTTTTGCCTCTGATTCTCGGCCTCTGTGAATGTTGATGTAATTATAAATCATGTCAAACTTCATTTTCCAGCATGTCTTCATCACAAGTGTCTGCAGCAGGTCTGTCTTGACTGCCATCTCTGTAGACCTTTTTCTTTTGGTCCAGAATGTAGTTGTGAAGAGTCCATGACACTTAAGTTACATTTTGTGGAAGTCAGCACAGAGCCACAATGATATTTGAGCACAGAGCCATTAGTCTATATGTTGGGGTTGTTTTTAATAAATGTATCAGTGTAAAAATTTGGCTTGCTGTTTTTCTTATCCCACTTTTTGCTGCAAACCTACAATCGCTGGAGAGACAGTTATAATACTTTGTTCATTACAAATGACATTTTGGTCTGCCTTTATTTGGGACCAAAATAATTGCTAATTCACCTAAAGATATATTATGCCGCATGTTCTGTGAAAGACAATACTGTTACTTGATGTCGAGTATATGTAATAGCATCCCAGGAAAACAGTGTTATATTTTTGGGTGGTTATAGATTAAAGGTGGGGGGGGGCTTCTTAACCTCTTCCCCCAAAGCAACTTTCACCCTGTCTTTGATCAGAATCAATATCATCTTACAACCACAGCAATAGCCAATTAAAAAAACAGAGGGTATGGAGAGATTAGAACCCTTATACACTGATGATGGGCTTGTAAATATGTGCTTTGGAAAGCAATATGGTGCTACCTAAAACAATTGTCAATAGAAATACCATCTGGCCCAGCAGTACCTTTGCTGTGCATATACCCCAGAGGTATGAGACAGAACACAAACGGACATACGCTTTCCCATGTTCACAATAGCAAGAAGGTGGAAACAGCCCAAATGCCTGTCAGTAGAAGAATGGATAAAAAACTGGTACATACACACAATGAAACCCTAAAAAACTTATGATTCCCTGAAACATCTCTTGACACGGAGAGACTGAAAATCATTTTGCTGAATTAAGTTAGTCAATCATAAAAGGACAGGAATGAGTCCACTGCTAGAAGGACAAACACCAAGGCTTCTGCTGCCCCGTCATGTAATCTAATCCAGTCTCCCAAGTAACAGAAGCCTGCCTAGTGTCCATGAACCATACAGCATCCCCCTCTACATGTACATCTTAAAAATCACTTTGCCAGAGGAAGCCTCACCTCAGCTGGGGTCAGTTTTTTAAGGTGTGGGGAGAGGGAGGTCATTCAATTGCTGCCAAACAACATGTTCCGATTGCTCCAAATCAACACACTCCTATCAGGGTGACACTGGACTTCCTGGAAATTCAAGTCAAGATAGGGGGAGGGGAGCACTTACTTACGTCTTAGAGAAGGCAATGACATTCTGTTGACCAGAAAAAGGGGAGGAGCAACTTCCCATCCAGGAAAAATGTTTCACAGTACTTAGATGGAACCCAGGGGTGTTACTGCCAGGTACTATGTTCCTAATTGGACAACATTTAACCTAGTTTCTTTCTAGGCCTTGGTGACCCAGTCCATGTGTTAGAGACTACTGGGACTTTAGACCCTCTTCTTTGCAAGCGCACAACATCCTTCATAGGCCACACCAGAAGGACTCAATGTAGAAGCCCCACTAAGTGAACTGGGCTTTACCTCAAACTCACCTGGACCCCTTGGACTGAAGGCCGAAACCTAGTGTGAAAAGAAACAGTTGACTGTCATCCCAAGTATCTATCACTAGTGGTTGTTGGACTGGTTTGGATCTCTTGCCTTGAGGGTGCCCGCTGAATGGTGGTCTAGGGCTACCATATACTTACTGTCTTAATACCTTCCTTGTTTTATTAAGACGTTAATCGGGAACGCAAAGTCTGCCACTGTCGATGAATATTATTGAAAATTGTAAATAGTGTCCAGTCACTTAAAAAGTTTAATCTCTACAAGTCAGCAATTAATGTATTTTAGTTCATAGCTGGCCTGTACTTGAATAATTTCTTTTTCTGTGTTCTAAATTGTATATCATTGGCTAAATTAATAACTGTCAATAGCATTACTTTATGCCCCAAGGAGATGATTGATAATGTTCTCCAACATAAAAATGACAATTATGCCTCTAAGGTGAACCAGGAACATCTATAAACCATAGCTATATGAATGGATTTGGGATCATACTTAATTCTAGCCCCAATCTAAGAACAATTAGTTCTGATGACATGGCCCTTCCTGATGCTCACCCTCATGAAGAGATCACTGAAGATATGGGTGCTATAACAAAGTGTGGTGAAGAAACTAGATGGTGCCTGGCTATCAGTAAAAATAGCATCTGGGGTCTTAAAGGTTTATGTTCAAACAAGCAGCCATCTAAGTGAGGCATCAACTAAGTCCACGTGGTATAAGCACACCAGGTGCCTGTGTGATCCAAGGATTGTAAAAAAATATAATCCAGGAAGGAATGTCATCAGAGCCTAAGTTGTGAACACCTGGTTTGCAGAAGGTTATGGATGACAATGGAAGCCCAAAGTCCATTTGCAGGATCCACAAACAGATTAAGTCTCTGGTGAATCCCCTCTGACCATAGTCCAGGGATGGGAATAGCCTGGTTAGCAGTGAGAGAGCACTGTGAAGTCGATGATGGCAGGCACAGTCAGGTCAAATGTAATGTCAATTGATCTCCCTTTTGACTCTAACAAGTTGTTTCCAAAAAAAAGTGAAGGGATGAAGTCACTGCTGAATCCCCTTGGATTGGACCAGGGATCTGAGTAGCTTTGCTATCATGTAAAGTGGATTATCACAGATGCAGTTAGGTTAAAACTGAACACCTTATAATTTGATGTCTGTCTTTGAACACCTTATAATTTAACATCTATTTTGACCCCTTTTTAATTTGTTCTGGTTTCTAATATTTTCTTTTTGATTGGATTTTTTCCTGTTTTACTGTGTTATTATTTGTTTTTTGGTATATTTTTCTGTATTAATTTACAGAGACAGTAACTGGATTAATGATTCCTTGGGGGGAAATGAGACACTAATAACAATGAGTACAAGAAAGAGGAAAGTGATCTAAAATTGATTGTGGTATTTATTATACAACTCTCCCTGATATGATTGAACTCCTGAACTGTATGATTTGTGGGTTTTGTGCCAAGAAAACTTTTCTAGAAAGAAGGTAAACAGGCAGAACAGTGCTTTCAGAACCCTCTGGGAGAACCTGCTTCTCGCTTTTTCCAGCTTTGAGAGCCTGCCTGCCCCAATGAATTATCTTCAACAAAATGTTATGTGCCTGTTATTAATGATATCATTTGATAACCTTCACATTTTATTGGATCACCTTTTATTGGAGTGAGCCCAAAAAGGAATCTCTCTCAGTCAGTTGGCCAGGTAGCTGTCTTCCAAATTTACTGCCAGAGACGGTGAACACTGCCAGCGTTGCATCAGTTTGTTGAAACTTTTCCGTTGGTCTCCCATCAAATCCTGGAGCCTTATTTTTGGCCAGTGTCTTCAGCACAGCTAAGACTGATGTCTTTTTCCTTCGGTACTGTTAATTCTTGAGGATAGGCTACCTCCTGGAGTGGTCGAATGATGGCTAATTCCTCTTTTCTTTCTAAACCACTTTATTGGGAGCTAATACAGATACCATATCATTCCATGGTTCTATCACATCAAGCAGTATTGTACAATTGCTACCACAGTCAGTTTCAAAAGATTCTCTCCCTTGAATTCTTTGATATCAGCTCCCCCTTGCCCTTCCTCCCCCATGCACCCCCCAGGACCCTTATTCTACTTGCTGTCTCGATAGGTGCACCAAGATGGCCAATTCTTTTTGGTACACTGACTGTTTTCCTTCTATCATCTTTCGATTCTTTCTGCATTGTTCAATATCGTGTCCATAGAATCTTTTATAGTTGCAACTCAAAGCTTGAGGGTTTTTTTTTTTCTTAAGTACTTTCAGCTTGAAAACATGCCATATATCTCCTTTCCTTTGGGTTTTTAAACCCTAGGCCACCTTCTTGAGACTGTTCAGCTTCCATTCCAGTTAGCTACTCTATGTTCAAGTTTCAGAGCGTTGTGTTGTTGTTGCTTGTGTTTTCCCTACATCTGTGTTTTGTCTTTTCCTTCATTCCTGTCTTTTTCATGACTTTTTGCTTTCTGTGTGTACGATTCCTTGATGTCATCTCATAGCCCATCTAGTGTGAGTGTTTGGTGCATCACATTTGAGAATGTCTTTAAATCCAGGTGGGGTACAGAGTCGCACCTCAACAAGCAACTGCTAGAGATTCAAATCCATTTCAGAAGAGGACATGGAGCCAAGGGACATCATTGGGATCTCAGCTGAATGAAGAAGCTACCAGAGAATGTCTACCTGTGTTTTATTGACAATGCACAGGTAATCCACTGTGAATCACAAATTATGGGTAGCATTGGGGAGAGTGGAATTCTACAACGAGAAGACTTAATTGTGTTCATGTAGGGCCTGCACTTAATAAACCAAGAGACAGTTGTTCAATAGAAGGGTCGACTACATGGCTTAAATCAGGAGAGAGATATTTCTGGGTCCTAACCTTTCATCACACTGACTCAATCTATGCACTAAGCAGATAATCCAAGAAGCTGGACTAGATCCAAAAGACTATGACAGCAGGAGTTGGAGGGAGACTCATTCACAACCTGTAATAAGTAGAAGACAAACTCTTGCTTGCTGACAGTGAAGGAAATTTGAAACACTAACTGATAAAGATAAAACACTGCAGCCTTCAATATGTATTTACAATGAAAAACTTCCCACAACTGGACTAATTAAGCAACACCATGATAAATGGAGAAAAGATTGAACCTATCAAAGATTTCATTTTACTGGGATCCACAATCAATGGCCACAGAAATAGCAGTCAAGAAATCAAATGATGTATTGCACTGGGCAAATCTACTGTTAAAGACTTTAAAGTATTCAAATGCAAAGATAGTGCTTTCAGGTGTAAGATGCACCTGACCAAGCCAAGGTATTTTCAGTTGCCTCATATGCATCTGAAAGCTGAACAATGAAGAAGGAAGACCAAAGAAGAATTGATGCCCTTAAATTATGGTGTTCACAAAGGATATTGAGCGTCTGTGCACTGCCAGAAGAGTAAACTTAATTGTCTTGAAATAAGTAGAGCCAGAATGCTTCTTAGAAGGGAATATGGAAAGAGAGACCCCCTCCCGGAGAAGGATATCATGCTTCGTCAAGGAGAGGGTCCACAGCATTGGGAATCTGCTGCACGAGACCTCTTGAAAGTGCTACAGGTGTGCCTGACCCAAACCATGGCATTTTCAAGCGACT